ACTATACTGTGATAAATTGCTGACGTTGAAGGATATGTCCGGTCGAGTACCCGTAGAGAGGTACATTAGTGATCCAATCATTTCCTGGTATACAGTTTTATCTACTGGCTTAGAGTCCAAATATTCATCCAAATTTTGATTTTGATCTCCAGGTGTCTGCACACTGTTGCATTCTTCCAGTCCAAATCTGTGAAGAATTGTATCAATATAATGAGTCTGAGATAGATAAAATCCATCTTCTTCCCTTTTTATTTCAATTCCAATAAATGGTTCGCTATCTTTCTTTTCTGTTAGAGTAACATATTTTTCTATTTCTGAGGCTAGGTTGTCATTAATTTCCTTACTAGTTCCAGCAATGATGAGATCATCTACATATAGACCCAGTATTGCATACTCTTCTCCTCTCTGGAGTTTATAGACACATGGATCACATTTGGTTCTAATCATTCCCAACTGGTATAAAATTTCATTGATCTTTTTGTTCCAACATTTTCCTGATTGTGGTAGACCATACAGGCTTTTTTCCAATTTACACACTTTGTTTTCTTCTCCTTTTTGTATAAAACCATCTGGTTGTCTCATGTATACTGTCTCTTTTAACTCACCATAGAGATAAGCTGTCTTCACATCATAAGTCTTTATGGTTAAATTCTGTTGTGTTGCAAGAGCTACTATTGTTCGCAAGCTTTCCTTTTTGAGTACAGGTGAAAAAGATTCCTTATAGTCCACACCATATCTTTGATTGCATCCAACAGCAACCAGTCTGGCCTTTCGTTTATATATGCCGTCAGTTGGTGTTTTCTTCGTACTGTAGACCCATTTACTATTGATGACTTTCATACCATTTCCCCTTGGTACTAGTGTCCATACTTTATGTTTCTCTATCTCACTGAGCTCATCTTCCATTGCTTTGTGCCATTCATTTCTTTCTCCACTATCCATTGCTTCTTTAAAGTTCTCCGGAATATAATGATCAATTTCCATAATTAAGTTTGCATTATTCCTATCCTTTATTCTTTGTGAGCGTCGAACTCCTTCTTCAAACAATTTCCTTTCTTGTTCTTCAAGTCTTGCTTTGTGCCGTTCTTCTAAGATGCTCTTTGTTTCTCCTTTCTTTCTTCCTCCTTTTACACATCTTTCCTGTATCGGTTCAGTTTGTGATGAGTCATTTTCACAGTCACCACCTAGTTTTACTGAAGTATCCTCCTGAGACTTCATTTTACTCTCTGTGACAGGATTGTCTTCTTTCAAGATAAGAAAGTCTTCAGCAACTATTTCTTCACAATTTCCTTTATAGGTCAAATTATCACAAGTAGTATCTTCCTGAATATCATTTGCATAATCAATTCCTCTCTTATCTTCACTAAATTTTACTGATCTGACTTCATGGATTCTCTTTGTCATTATATCATATATTCTGTAGGCTTTTCTTTTAATGGAATAACCAATAAATATTCCCTTTCTACCCTTTGGTGAAAACTTGTTTCTTCTTGGTTTGCTCTCAAGCCAATGTGTCAAACATCCAAATATTCGAATGTGTTTGACCGATGGTTTCCTGCCATTCCATCTCTGCATAGGGGTATTTTGCTTGATAGACCTGTGGGGTGTACAATTCTTAATGTATGTAGCTGTAGCAATTGCCTCTGCCCAAAACATCATGGGTAATTTTGAGTCAATTAGTAAGGTTCTCGCTGTATCTATAAGAGTCCTATTCACTCTCTCTGCGACTCCATTACTTTGTGGTGAGTTGGTGATGGATCCCACTTCTCTTGAAAAGTCCTTCAAATCTAGAGTTACAAAATTCAGTTCCATTGTCCGTTCTTACATCTTTTATTCTAAGACTTAATTCGTTTTCGGCTCTTGCTTTAAATTCTTCAAATCTTTCAAAGGTCTCATCTTTTGATCTCAGGAAATATACAAAGATTCTTCTACTGTAATCATCTACTATAACAAGGAAATACTTAGATCCTCCTAAAGATTGACATGGCATTGGTCCACATAAATCCATATGAATCAACTGCAGGGGCTTAACTGTATAATTTTCTGTAATATTATATGGCTTCTGCACCAGTTTTCCCATTATGCATGCTTCGCACTCTGGTAACCTTTCGAATTTTAGATCCAATCCTCTTACAATATGTCCTTGAATCATTTTTTTCATGTATTCTTCATTTATATGGTTTAATCTCTTATGCCATAAACTTATATTGCTATTTTTATTTGATAAATGTGTATTTATAACCATGACATTTTCATTTTTTGCTATTGGTACATTTCTTTGTTTTGTTTCCATCATAAACATTCTATCTTTAATATATGCTTCAGCAACTAAATCATTCCCTTCATTATAAATTTTTGCTCCATCCTTATTGAAAATAACTGAATTTCCCTTGTTGACTAATTCGTATACTGACAAGAAATTATTCCTTAAACTTGGTACATGTAAGATATCTTTGATGCGAATATTTTCTTGGCCTTCACTTGTGCATGTAGTAAGTCTCATATCTCCTTTGGCTATGGCTTGGGTAGTTTTGCCCTTTTCAGCTAGGTTGATTTCACTTTCATAATCTACCACATTTTCCATCAAAGTTAGGTTTGGGGTTAAATGTGCGGTGCATCCTGAATCTATACACCATATTTGTCTATCATTTCTCTCATCTGGTGAATCTTCAAATTCTTTTACATATGTTTCAAATGCTTGCTCATTAATTCCACTTTTCATAGTATCCACTAGGTTATTTAAATGTTCCCTACTGTATTTGTGATTTCTATAACCAGGATTCCATTTCTTTTGGTATCCTTGTTTCTGTTTATCTCGAAACCAGCAATCATTAGCTAGATGTCCCTTTTTATTACAAACAAAACATCTTTTTGGCTGAGATTTTTGAACTTTTCTATCTTTAATTCTGTATGCTTGTTCATGCCCATTCTCAACCGATTGATTTAATCTCATATTTCTTCTTGACTCCTCTTCTCTTAGAGTTTGTTGAATCTCTTCAATTGTTGCCTCTCTCTTTGATCGTAAGACAATAGCAATATTTTCATACCTTGGATGTATGCCTCTGACAATATGAAATGAAAGTTCTCTTGAGGGAAATTGATGCCCTAATGATGAACTTCTAGCAGCAATATTTTTTGCCCGCGTTATATATTCATCTACAGTTTCATTATCTTTCATTCTAATGTTCTTTAATTCTAAGCCTATATCAATAATTTTATCTTCCAAATTGCCTGTGTATGTTTTTCTCAGTGAGTCCCATACTTTCTTAGCATTTGTTTCTCCTATGAACATTCCAGCTTGTTCATTTGTCAACGTAGTGATGATTATCCCAAAAGCTTCATCATTTTTATCACTCCAAATCTCCCAAGAACTTTTGTCTTCCATATCAGGTTCTGGATCTGAAATTACACATTTAAATAATTTTCTTCCTCTCAGAACTGCGCCGATTTTCAACGCCCATATTTGATAATTATTTCCTGTTAATGGTTCAATTTTTGTTTGGGATAAAACATTATATTCAGCCATTTTCGTCTTTTGAGCTAATATAAACAAACCAATATATAATTTAAAACAAATATATATTTTAAATTTATTTAAATATTGGGTAGCTTTTAAACATGCAATATATAGATATAATTTAACTTAATCTATATAAATACCTTTAATCTTCTTATAAGTGCTTCAGTTTACCGATCAGAATAAACTTCTTGCTTAATCTTCAGATTGAATATTTTCGTTTTTGAGCTTTATATCAATAAACCACGCTCTGCTACCAATTGTTGACTTTGCTTAGAATTATTAATGAAACTGATTCCAATAATTATTAATTAAACATTATATTTATTGATTAACAAGAGAGGTAACAAAATATAAAAAGGAAACTTATATTGAAACAAAGGAACTCGTTTTTTTTCTTGTTTTTTAGCGCCTATTTACCCGTGAGCTTACACACACTCTGTGGTAACAAATAATTAAAATATGTACAACAAAAATAAAAGCGGCATATTCTGACCAGGCTCACATGAGAATTTCTAGATGGCAGAGAGCCATCTAGTGGAACAAAAATAAACTAAACGTTTATTTAACTTGTTCCGTGATATTTGGCCAACCTAACCCCACGAACGCGTTTCGGGCTGTTGGCCCTCGTCATCGTGGTGCAGACTGTTCCTCTACGACCAAAATTTGGTCCTAGAGGCTTCCTGAGAAATCAAGAAATGGGTATTTAAGGCACCACGCTGACGAGAACCAACAGCCCCAAACGCGTTGACTTTTCTTATCAAGAAATTAGGTTGGCCAAATATCACGGAACATGTTAAATAAATGTTTAGTTTATTTTTGTTCCACTAGGTGGCGCTTTGCCATCTAGAAATGCTCATATGAGCCTGGTCAGGATATGCCTATTTTATTTTAAATATCAACACCTTTTTTATATTTTTTAAATTGTTTTTTCACTATTAGATATATAGTTCAGAGAAGAACACAGCCACATCAACTACTGTTTTATTTCAACTCCCGACGTTTCTGTGACTTTCCTGTCACTCTCTTCAAGGGAATGATTACTTTGAATCCTAGTTCTACTTATATACATACACGATTGTCTAAAATTAATGTGGCTGTGTTCTTCTCTGAATAAACTTCCAACCAACAAATAATCTTTGGAACTATATATAGTTGCATATCTGCATAGATTCAATTCATTGAATAAGCCACAAAACTAGCATTAGCAAAATCGAACAAAGTTCAACCTGTTTGGCCTATGGCCTTCATCACGCGACACGCCTACGAGAAAAGATATAAAATTGGCCAATCTGATCGAAAGACGTTTTGTCTGTGTGTGTGGTTTAATAAGAGGACCGATTTCATGTCAGAATGCATTGTGAAATTTAGTAGGATACTTTAAAAAGCATCGCTACCGTATATAATTAAGCAAGAAATATAATTTAAATACAATATATAATAGTAATAATAATGAAGACCTATCCTGATCAGGAGCACATGTGCTTTTTAGATGGAAGGCTGGGTAAACCGTTTGGTTTTCGACCACTAGGACCCGGGTTCGATTCCCGCATTGGGCACTTTTTTCTGTTTAAAAAAAAAATGCTCCAATGGCCCCCGATTCTTGCAAAAGTCCAACCTCACCAGCGAGTGCAAGTAACCAAACGAGGCTCTGGCATTTGTAAGTGCAAAGTCGAACTGCTTTTCACATGTGTAGACATGTGGTGCGCTTACAGTAAAAGCAGTCGCTAACTACCCACCATGATTATCATGGCCTGTACCACGTGTACTAGGGATAAGCAAAAAAAAAAAAAAAGATGTTTAGTTGATTTCTGTTCCACTAGATGGCGCTCTGCCATCTAAAAAGTACATTTGCTCCTATTCAGGATAGGCTTTCATCATTTTTAATATCATGTAATATCAATTTCATATACCTGATCTTTTTATTATTTATTATTATTTTTTAAATACAGTTAAACCTGTCTATAGCGCCCCCTCTCTATAGCACCCGATTTTAAATACGTAGTGCGATGCGATTTACATTAATAGTGACCTGTCTTTAGCACCCTATTTTGGTGAATCCCAAGAGGGGCGCTATAGACAGGTTTAACTGTATATAATATATATATATCTCCGCTCTTAAATCAAAAGCTTATAAATTCGCTAAGTATAGAGGTCCCTCTCACCGAAAAACTATATTTGTTAGCGCCCTGAAAAGAAGCGAAAATTCTATTTCAAGATTTTATACTTGTAATTATTTAGTATAGTTAACCTTGTGTCTTTGGCAAGCATGACTCTCCTGCAGTCTACCATGATAGCATCTATTTTCTTGGAAACTAACGGCATTGCGTTTTTAGCTATGTTGTCGTGATTCTAATGGATTGGTTTAAATTAACAAACAATAGCAATATTGAATTTAGAATATAATCCTTTGCTAGCACTTTTAGATAATAAAGTGAACGTCTAAGGCTAAGTATATTTTATTAAATGTTTTCGAGCTTTCGGGATAACGCCTATTGAGGGGTTCTTCTCAATATAGATTGCTGTCTCTCTTTACCTTGAGTGACGACCTAGTGTCCAGCTACTTGACCAGCTCAGTAACTCCAAGGAAGAGGCTCTAAGGACGACTATCAACCGTCCAAAAACTTATCCAGAACTCTTTTTTATTGAAAAACACGGTCAATTTATACATTCAAAGAAATTTACATACTAATTTATACATTCAAAGAAATTTACATACTTTTTCCTCTCTTAGTTTTTAAGTTACAAATATATTTACATAAAGTTGACTACTCTCTAGTAGTCGTAACAACGCCCTTCTACAGGAAAATTGATACATTTTGTATCCGCGGGCGTTATCCCGAAAGCTCGAAAACGTTTAATAAAAGATATTCATCCTTAGATGTTTACTTTCTTATCTAAAATAGAATTATTGAAGTAAAAATACAAGTCGGGAAGAAGAGCTTCTTTTATGAGAAGACAAACGTATAAGCTATCAGCCAAGACGCCCTTTTATACGAGTACCCGTAGAATGGAATTTTACCTGAAAACTTGTACGATCATAGTCTTACATAAAAGAATCTCTTCTCCCTGACTTTTGTTTCTGTTTCTACTAGCCGAATGACCCGGGCAACGCCCGTGTTTTACCCGATTGAATGTTTTGATTCAAATACTATTTGTTACAATTATAAATTGGCGCCTTATATAAATGCATATTTTAGTTAATAACTATAGCCTATGTGCTTTATCTGTCTATGTACTGTTGGCTTCCGTAGGCGTCTCTTACTGGGAAAAAGAAAGAGAGGATTCCATTTAGTTATTAACTAATATATGCATTTATTTAAGGAGCGACCCGCTCCAACACAATAGTTACAAAAACGAAAAAGCGAGTGGGGGGGGCAAAGGTGGCGTGATCGTGGCCAACCAATAGGAGAGCGCCATTCCAAAAAAAAAAAAAGCAAACAGTGACAGAGATGAAAACTGAAGAATTGATTAAGAACGCATGACGCTCGTAACTGTATATAGAATGGTGAATAGGGAGCAAATTGTTGTCTAATGATCGTAATATAAAAATAACCTTCAAATAAAAATCAATATGCTTAAAATATATTTTGATAGAAAATTTATTAACCTTGAATCAAAATAAGTCAAAAAATTATTGTTTTCAGAAACGGCGGTCGATTAGCACAAAATAAAAATAAAAAATGGTTTTGGGATGAGCGGTAGCTGTCTGTTAATACGAAATAGCAATAATTAAGATACCCACTTACAACTGCAAACTCACTAAACAAAGTATCTGCCTATTACAAGGGCAAATCCCTGGCAGCAATTGGTGCCATATGGGAAGTCTTGACAAAATCCAAGGTGAACTCTTTGAAGGCAGTAATGAAATTACTTGACTCGACAATCTTGCCTCATGTTATACGCCGCCCCCTTTTGGGCACTTGACAAGATAAAAGTAGAAGCATAGGGCGTCTCTACCGTCACAATAAACGTCAAAACTTGACGCCATCTATTGACCGTTGCCGCAAATTAGCGACCTCTGGTCGGTGACAAAGTCACAACACCAGCTTTGGCAAACTGAAAAGCGTCCACCTAGAGACTATGGTTTCGGGCTAATGGCCCTCGTCAGCCTAGGGCGGACTTTATTCCATGAAATCCACACGGAATCTAATGAAATCTTCACAATCTACCAAAGAGGTGTTTTGCTGCCAAAGTGGCTGGGCTTAATCTATGGCCACAATATAGATGGAAAATTTGACGGGAGAGGCGCCCTATGCTTCAATGGATCAATTTCATCCCGAAAATTTTCCATCTATATAAGATAAAAGTAGTTGACCGGTGGTCTTAATAAAGCTGTATGTTTATGTATGATTATCATTGTCTTAATCACATTAACTTTTATATAGGGAATCTATTTTTTACTTGAAAAACTGTTCACAAAACTACAATTTCTTTTTCAAGATCTTGTTCGTATTTTGACCATTGTAGACTAGCAGCGTGCTAATTCTCCCCCATACAACATGTTCGAAATGTGCAAGTATTACTATGTGCTTGTACGTGTATGTACTTGTATTATCAAATATATTCCTATAATACAAGGACATACATAAGGACTCTAAGTATGTTTAAATGTATGTTGCAGTTATCAACTCATCTTCAACACAATGATCTATGCTCTAGTTTGACGAAGCCTGTGCAACGGATGTCCAATACTTACAACTTATAAATCGCAACATATTTGTCTAAACCTACAACACAACAGAGCCTATGCATGTTTCAACCAAGTCCAACACGACAACAAATATATAAAATACTCTAAAAACAAACCAAATTTTGTGTTCTGTCGTTTTTATAGAGCAATTAAATTTCCATTACCTTAATTTGTGTACAGCCAAATAAATTGCATTATATATACTTTAAACTGCATCAACTAATCATTCTCTTCTTTTCTCTACTTTGAACTCTTTTTAAATATATCGTTTTATTAAAGAATTATTTTTTAAAATTGATAGTGCGTTATTCCATTTTTTGAAATCTCTATTTAATATAAAACTCTTTTTAAGATATGAAAAAAAGCTGTTGCAAAAAAAAAAAAGTAAAAAAAAATTTGCATGATAAGGAGATGCCCCCTTTTTTTCTTTTTAAAATGTTTATTAAGTTGTACATATTTAATTTTTTTTTGCCTTTTTTTAGAAATAAAAGAAGTGTGCCTCATTTATTTTATATTCCAATTTAGAAAGAGGATGGTGTGTGTGCTGAAAATGAATCGCTCCTTTTAAAATGCTTTGATTTTTTACAGATATATATTTTCATATCCATTATAAGGAAGAAAATAAAATATTTCTCTCTATGATTATATATTTAATACAAATTATTTTTCCTCTTCTCTGAGGAGATAGCTGCTATTATATGATATATGTATAAAAAGCTCCATATTGTTTCCTAGAAAAAATCTATTGGTGAAAATTTTGTGTGATAAATCTATATAGATGTTTATAAAGCTAGATTGCATGATATGTTTTGTGAACATGTGACCTTAATAAATATATTTCCTGATTTTTCTGTGTCTTCATGTGTCTAATCTACACTGTCCACTGTGGTTACCTACACTCATTAACAAAACTTAAGGAAGTTGTACTTTTTAGCATATATATATTTCGGGATTCAGACAATAACTCTGTAAGATACACTCATGGACAAAATTTAAGAAAGTTGTACCTTTTAGCATTGTATATCCAGATATTAACCTCATGGTTCCATTGCCTGATATTACTAGTAAAGACATTTGGTGTACCTAAAGTATGAGTAGTCACAAACCTCTTACCACCGTGATTTTCATGACCAGTACTGTATGTACAAGAAGTAAATACAAAATATACCTTTTACACATACACAATCACTTTGTTCTTCAAATAAAAGACACTTCAGCCAGGCAATAAAAAGATTTACTGGTCGAAGTGTCTTATATTTGAAGAACAATGAATACCGGCCAGGCAGCCTCTATCACTTTGAATGTGTTATCAATATTACACTGATATTATCAAGTCGCCATATAGAAAATAATTTTAAGAAACAGAGTCCAATTGCTAGATGCTATCCAGCTACCAGAATTTCAAGAACTACATGTAGGAATATCACCACACAGGTATCAAATACATTCAATCTTATAATCTTAATAATTTTCCTTGAGAATCTTGTCAGATATCATCTCTATCATAGATGAACCATTAAATTAACTTTGTAAAAAAGTTTCATTTTCTGGAATTATAAATCAATCATATCCCAACATCATATGAAATTGTGAACATGCTTTTCTTATTTTCATAGCTTATAACATATTTAAAATTTATATCAAATTTATCTTGGTTTGTAAACTTATTCAGTTTCCTGGGACACGAGTCTTCAACAATTGGTCAGTTCTAGGGCCCTAGCTTTGCTGGCGCCATCAGGTCAGATCCGATGGTGGGGTTAGTAAAAGCTAGAAGTGGAATAGGACTTCTCAGGACCATTTAGGGCTCCTGGGGGGTGAACCGCCAAAAAGGGTAACGCGCCGAGGCAGGTACTTCCAGAGTGGTGA